ACAGTGTAGCTTACCACCATCAGTGTGTGAATGTGAGTGTGAATGGGTGAATGTCTAAAGTGTAAAGCACCTTGTGGTCCATGTGGACTTTTTAAGGCACTATCTAAGTTCAAGCCAATTACCATTTAATGTACCTCATTATGACTAACCAGTAAATATGTGTTTGTCATATTTGGGAATTTTTTCCTCCCAAATCCTTGGAGGTGACAAAAAAATTCCCTTTATATCATGTTATAGGGTTACTCATACTAAATCTAAAATAAATATTTCAGAATTTTACTGTGTCTTTTTAATACACCAATTCAAAGTACTTTATAACTCCAATCCAGTAAGAGTGTTTCACCAGTTTTTTTAACTTTCTAAGAACAGTCAGATACAACATATGTTTCCAGTTAGTGATGTAAATAGGTCATTTGACCAGGATGTGGCAATGCATGCAGGGTTACAGGGTCAGAGAGGTTTAGAGAAGAGAAATGAAAGACGGAGTACGTGTCTGAATATAAGGGGGCAGGTAGAACAGAAAAGCTACAAGAAGCAGAGGTCACAAAGTTATAAAACCTCAAGTACTTATAGGGTCAATCATTCAAGAAATGTAGAGGCAATAAAAGACTGGCACCTAGAACAGGCTACAGTTAGTAAAGTCTGTCTATCCCAGAAAAATCAGTGTGGTAAAAAGGTGAAGAAGATTCTTGCCAAGATAGAGTGGAGAAAAAAAACACTCAGGAGTTACGATAAAAGATTCACAGTAAACAAAGGGAATATATTACGAAAAAGTCGTATGAACAGTAGCATTGGCAGAAAAAAGTCAGAGATGGAAATGAAAGTGACAAAGATGTAGCTGTTAAAAAAGAAATGGAAGTGGATGATCTGAAGATGTTGAGATTCTACTTCTGAGAAAGAAAGATGATCTTAGTTTAAAACTTTAATGAACTGCAGTGTCTGATATGTATTCTTTTAAGGAGCGCCGGGCCATAACTTTAAAAATGGTTAAGGCGTAATAATAATAATCATGTTGATAATTGTTACTAATAAACCTCACAAATCCTAATTGTGTTTTATAACCTTTTCTAACTTTGAAATTTAGCTTTGCTTGCCTTTTTGATCAGTGTGTTTCTTTTCACCATTTCCTACCCTTGCACACATAAAGTCATTTTTCAGTGCTAACATAATTATTTTTAAGTCTGGAAACATGCGCTATTCTTGTCATCTCTATTAGCTCCTCTCCACTTTATTGAAAAATTTACGAGTTCCAGTGAACCAGGCTTATATAGAGAGAGCACAGATATTACCATCACAGCTATGGTAATCACTCATCAGCCATGACAAAGATATTATTATTAATTTACACTCTGGTCATYTCTGCTATTTTTATCTTAAGCATTTATCTACATCTTTCTACATAAGTTTCATATTCACTTTTCCTTATTTCTCCTCTTCCATTATTGACGCATGTAGACTTCTTCTTTCCTGCCATTTTTCTTCTGTTCATGTCTAATCCTTTCTTTTCTTTTGGTGTGTGTGTTGGTGGGGTGTGTGTGGGTGGTATGTGTGTGCAGAACTACAAAGAGCTCGAGCTGCTCAGGCTGGTTTATTATGGAGGTGTACAGCATGACATCAGGAAGGAAGTCTGGCCTTTTCTGCTGGGACACTATAAGTTTGGCACAAGCCAAAAAGAAATGAGCCAGGTATAACAAACTCACAAACATACTGCTCTCATTATTAGTTTAGAAACCACCTCATGGCATTTCCTTTCATTTCTTTATAAAGATCAATGCAAAGATCAACGAGCGCTACCAGCAGGTGATGCGGGAGTGGAAGACCTGTGAGGTCATCGTCAAGCAGAGAGAGAAGGAGATGCAGTGTGCCATCTTTGCCAAGCTGTCTTCAGGAAGCAGCATAGACAGCCATGTTCTACGTCTTGCACACAGAGACTCCACTCTCAGCAATGAGGTAACACAGTGCAATCTAAAAATATCCATCAGTCCATTTTTGGTGATTGTTAATTGAACTTAGCTCTAAGCACATACTTTTTTTTTTTGGCATTTTGAGGCTTATATCATCACCAACACCGTGTTGGATTACCATCATCAAAGCACTTTTTTAGACTTTAAAACCTTTCTAGGATATTTCCACAGTTTTAAAACTCAGGRTATTCATCTTCTCTGTTTGACTACACAGTTGTACTATGTTTTCAGACTCAGACTTTTGAGATTGAAAATATAACACAAAATATGTATAATTGGCAMTGATGGGCAGCACTAATCTAAATATTAATTGTTTTAACCKTAAAMCACTAACTTAAATATTTAGGTACCCTAATTCTAAAMCACTAACGCACTTAAAAWTTTMGCAAAAGCTAATTCRAACGRYCTAATGATTCATTTATAATCACGGCGTGATTAGAAAAGAGGCTTGGTACAGGTCGAGGTAGATAATATCTATAGCAAAAGTTAATGCCTGCTAGTAAACTGCAAATATATTGAGGCATAGTGGCGAATTTCGAAGCAGTGCGCAATGAAAGCGAGCACCGTGTAGATGCYGACTGGAAAGATTGGGGTTCTGTAGGACGTGCAGAATTTAGAAAAGGTTAGCCAAGCAAAACTMTAAGTTTTGAGGGTGGAAGGAGAGAGACTTGAACTTATGTAAAATCTAGACAATCGAAGTAGAGAGTGGAGTGAAGGATCAGCTAGATCAACTTCAGGGCTTCGAGAGGAGGGATTGGCGTAGGGTTCGGAAGAGCAGACGGGCACAGACAATGGAAAACCTGAAATTTAGAATGGGACATAGCATCAGCGATGGAATTAGAGTGGCCTGGGACATGACGTGCTGAAATTATGAAATTATTGATGACCGATTGCCAGGTGATGCGGCAAAGGAACCGCATGATTGAGCTAGAGCATCTAGCTGCTAGAGGAAGAGCGTCCTTTATTAATAGCTTCGACAACAGCAGCATTGTTGCATAAGGCGGCGATGCGCTTTCGTTTCCAGAGGTGACCCCAAAGGCAGCAGGTGACAACAATTGGAACTATCTCATAGAAAGCTGAGGATTCTGACTGGGGAAATGATGGGGGCCATGAGCCAGCGAACCACTTCCCCTGAAAGAACCCCCCGAAACCTGAAGATGGAGCAGCATCATTGTAAAACTGTAGAGAGTCAGCTGAAAGAACTACGTTTTCATAGAAAAAGGAAACGCCGTTCCAGTCCTTMAGGAGACTGGACCAGAAGGCCAGGTCGGAACGACAACCTTCGTCCAGGGTTACCTGGTCGAAGAGGGAGGGAACGGAATTAGCTAAATCGAGCAGGCGAGATATAAACAAATGGCCTTGAGGGATGATACGCATGGCGAAATTAAGATGAGCCAGGAGGGAGAGGAGCTGACGTTTAGAAAGCATGGAAGATGATAAGAGGGACTGAAATATTTCACAGATATGGGACAGTTGTCTGTTGGCAGGGAGGCAACCATGGACTTAGAGTCCAGGGTAATGCCTAGGAACTCCAGCTGCTTGGCAGGGCCTGAAGTCTTCTCTACAGATAAGGGGACACCAACGCAGTGGAACAACCGTTACAGCCTGGGAAGAGAGGGACCAGGGAATGGAGAGGGGAGGTCGATGAGGAGGAAGTCATCGAGAAGGTGGAAGACTGGGGAGTTTAGAGACGTTGAGGAGAATCCAGCATAGGGTTTCGGACAGTTTATTGAATAGGCAAAGACTACTTCTGCAGCCGAAAGTCAATCTGATGGTGAAGCAGAACCGCTGGGTCCACCTGACCCCTAGGAGGGGCCAGTGGGAGGGATGGATGGGCACGGTTTTGAAAGCATCGGTTATATCTGCCTTAGCAAGCCAGGCACCCCGGCCAGCAGTTTTGATGAGGGAAATGGCATGGTCCACAGAGGCGTAAGAGAGGGAGAAGGGGGGTTTAGGAATGAGGGAGTTGATTCTGGGATGGGGAGCAGAAATTTCAATGATTAGACACTTTTTTCCTGAATATTTTTGGGTTGCTACCCCTAGGGGGCTGACGTGAAATGGGGAGGGGAGGGGGTTTAAAAGGGCCAATCATGTATCCTTTGGAGACTTCCCTAAGAAGCAAACTGGTGACTACCTCTGGCTCGCTGAGAGCAGACTGGAGCTTAGGACACATGTGAGAGAGGGTGGGTGGAGGAGGAGACGCCTATGAAGAACCCCTGAGAAAGACTGGAAATAAGAACACTAACAGGGGGTCAAATTCACGAGGAGACCAAAATTCCAAACTTAGTTTAGGCCAATTTCTGTCAATATTTATTAAAACAATACTTAACAAATTATTCTTATAATACTCATTTTATTTTACAAATTATGGTTTATGATGCATTTAGAACACACATAAACAAACAAATAAAGATTAAATTTAAAAATAACTCATCACTGGCATTCATTATTCCATGTTCAACATTAAAATGAAAAGAGAATATGAAAAAAAACTAAAGCTGATTCTCTTTACACAACAAAGTCAAAGAGTACTGAAAAATTCAAACTTTATTTAATAAAATTTGCCCTAATTATCATTACAGACAACAGGAAGTGAAGTTCAACTTCAGCATCTGAGGTTTAGGGGGTAAAAAGGGTGACCAAATTCTGTGGGACAAAAACAATACTTTTTAGGGACAATGATACATCACCAATGTTTCCTTAGACACATTCATTCTTCTCTGCTTTGGCAGTTTCTGCACAGCAATGTTTTAAAAAAGTTTTAAAAAAATTACATTTATTATTTATTAAATACATTTTAAAATTTATCAGTAAAAAACTTTAGTTAAAATATTTAAAGTTTAGCATTTTAAAATTTCATCATAATGAAAAAAACAACACAAATCCATAAGCAGGTCAGATGATCTGTGCTGTTATCTGTCTGTCCGCAGACTGACAGGCAGATTTCTGTAGGTTTCTTGTCTGAATCTCTTACAGTGTTGCTTCACGTTGTGTTTGCCTTCAGGGAAAAATTTTTTTTTGCAATTTTCTCTCTGAGAATCATGCATCTTTCACTGACCTCACCCATTTTCCAGTTAATATTTAGCTGCAATTTTGTTTTTATTTTTTACATAGTTTCCGTCACATTTTGCATAAATCAGATTCTTTTTCTTGTCCAGTGTTTAGATATTTATTTTTTGACACAGTGGCTGTGGTGCGCAGGACACGCTGCTGCTCCATGTTTTTGATACTTGGTGGGGATGATTTTTCAGGAAAATGCAGCCTCATGGGAACCAAATGCTCTTTGTGGGGACCGAAGCCCGGTCTCCATGACTCCAAAGGCTGATTTTGAATGAGACGTTTAGGTTTAGGGCCAAGGTGTAAAACAAGTTTATGCTAGATTTAGGGTCAGGTATGTAATAGAGTGGTCAGTAATAGATTTAAACTCATCACTGAACTTAAATTATAGCTAACATTAATGGATCACCTGGACTAGCTAACTGCACTATGTTTTGGTAGAAAAAACTGTCATGGGGAAATTTTGATTTATTTTCTGGTTCTTTATAAAGACTACAGTTTTACCAAAAGCTGGACATTATCAGAAGAGTCTGACATTACCTCTCACCAGTTGGAGCCTGCACTCCGGATTCAACTCATTTATGCTGCAGAAGGCAGAGAAGTCAACCCGACACGACATGCACAGCCTGTGTTTGTGTGTATGCCTACAGGTTTTTGCTACATGATGGGGACCATTTTCTTGGTAAACACAGCCTGCTGGTGAGGACCCGCTGTTCCTTACAGGTGTAAAAGCCCAGTCCCCATTGAGGAAAATACTGTTGTTGGGTCAGGGTTAGGCTGTAGAAATGACCGGTAATTGAATGGAAGTCAATGCAAAGTCCCCATGAGAATAGAAGTACTAACACGTGTGTGTGCTGCATGGCTGCACTCTGTGTGTCACAGAGAAAAAAGAAGGGAGGGGGGAGCAGGCTGTCTTTGCTGCTGCTCTGTGGGAGTGTCAGAGAACTAACTGAAGTTCATCATCAGTTTTGATCAGAGATTTTTCTCGTCCTATCAGGTAAAGTGGGAGGGTACGTCCCCCGTACTAACTGCATCCATGGGACCGGCCCATTAATGATGCGGCCCAGCAGGAATCGTCCCGATTCTCCTGATTACCCACTCCGCCCTTGTTTAAAGCCCTAGAGCTCATTAGCAGGATCACCTGCAGCTGCTGTCAATGGCTGCCACAGTCAATTATGAAGCCAATTATGAATGCAGATTTCCCAGTCTCCTGCTTGGTGGCAGTCTTTTCTACTTAGTGATGTGCTGGTGTTAATTCTGGGGCCTACCAGACCAGAGAAACTCAGACCACTCATATGTGCACCTTGCTGTTCTATATTGTATACGGTACACTATTTTGTCCCTATCGTTATTCTGGAATGTTCTATGTAGGTTCATTACTTGTATACAAATTAAAATTCCATTTAAATTCCATGTTGTAGGACCACCAAAGTAAGAATAATGAGGGGATGAATGCTTTTGCAGCTGACTGTTGTTTTCCTGTGTGGCTCCTCCACCAGTTTACCTACCAGGACACCGATGGGTCTTGGATAGGAGACAATGTCTCCTTCTTGGTTTGGAGGCGATGGACCAGACTTARAGCCACCTGGGGTGGCCTGTGTGGCCGAGTCAGGCGTGTCTCCTCCAGGAGACAGGGGCGGGAGCCTTTTAGCTCGGCCTCTAGCTGCCTTCCCTCCGGTTGTCGTTCCCTTCGTGAACCCCGGCCTCTGGATCAGTGCAGTAGCTCAGGATGCCTCCAGCAGCCCGAGGAGGGCTCGGCGGTTCTTCGTCATCTGAGCTCTCGTTTTCAGAGCTGGAGTCCCGCCTTTGGAAGTGTTGAATTAGGGCCTTTTTCTCCTCCTCTGACCAAATCGAGTTTTTCAATGTTCTCTTGTTTTGGGTGCTGCACGTGTTTTCCCATTGGTTCTTCCTTTTCTGTGTCAGAGGTTC